TGAACTGCCAGCCCATGTCTAGGAGACCTTAGCATCTGGAATCTGAATACTTCACAACTGTCTCCCTTGCAGGGAAATTGAGATCACCAGGATTCACCTGCCATTTTGGACCCTTCGCTGCTACTTGCCAGGTATGTGCCTCATTCTCAATGCCTGTCTAACCCACCACCTTTCAGAAATGGGAGGCAGAAATGAGGGCTTAGGAGAGAGTGCAAGATGGGTTGGCACCATCTTATCAGCTGAACCTGGCTGCAGGATAGGGATGTCAGTGTGACCAAGGGGAGATGCCCATTTAGGCAGCCCCATTGAAGAGGAAGGATTCTGACACATCCCATTTCCCCCTCAAGCCATGCGAAGCCTCAAAGAGGGTCCCTCCTTGGAACAATTCATCTCCTGTAGAGACAAGGGGTGGAAACCCTCTTGTGGACCTATTGAAATAAAAACCAAAGCAAGCCAGTGAGCATTAATTGACAGCTTGTGAAAGGCAAAGCATTGCAGCAGGTGCTAGAAGGGGAGCGGGGTGCAAGAGCGCAAAAGCCCTATGCCTGGGGGCTCGTAGCTTAGGATACGGAGAACGGGAGAAGGGCAAAGCGCACGCAGCCCAAGCTTACAAATTAGCAAAAGCAGAATATAATCATCTTTAAAGGGGATTCCCTGGTGGCGCAGTGGTTGAGAGTTCCCCTGCCGATGCAGGGGACACGGGTTCGTGCCCCGGTCCAGGAGGATCCCACATGCCGCTGAGCGGCTGGGCCCGTGAGCCATGGCCGCTGAGCCTGCGCGTCCGGAGCCTGTGCTTCGCAATGGTACAGCAAAAAAAAAAAAAAAATCTTTAAAGAGAAATTCAAGAGCTGAAGGACTGGAAATCAGGGGAACATAAATGTTGTTTAGGAACTGGGGATGCAGGAGGAGAAAACTGGAATGGGGTTGGAGTGAGGCTAGGCAAAAAATGAGAAGGAAAGAAGAAGGAAGAGGAAAGATAGGCTTGGGTGGAAGGTAGCCGCATTTCAGCAGCATTTCTTTGGCGTAGGTGTGCACGACCTTTATTCCTCCTTGCGTCTTCAGAGGCTCCCTGGAGAGCAGGGAGCATGTACCCCACCAGCAAAGCTTAGCTCCAGCCTGAGACCCCCTTTCTGGCTGTCCTTCCCCTCACTGGGTCCTCTCTTTTCCCCAAATATGCAACGTGGCCAGTCTCAACTTTCCCCAGCAAAACCTCCCCGTTCTTTTTCTTTTCAGAAAAAGAATCTGAAATCTATTTACACTGTGATGCGAATAGCTGAAATCAGAAAGTGTTTCCCTTCAGAGGGGTAAGGATCAGAGACTTTCAACTGCAAAGGGAGGTTGGAAAAGGCAAACTTCAAGTAGCGACTGGGGAGTAGGGTGCCCTTTAGATCAGGAAGGGGCATTCGGCCCTTCTGAAGTCCCTTCAAGAATTTGCCAGACTGTCTCCCTCCTATTAAAGTCTCTAAAGTCAGGTCCTTGAGTGTTGGAAGGAAAGGTACCACAAGGCATTACCTCCTGCTAGAGAAGATGCTGTTGATAAGGTCTAAGGGAAACTCCAGTTTTAAGTTGTTTTATCAGAAGTGGATTTTTAAATTTTTGTGCATTTGTTGGTTGGTTAGTCTTGTGGCTGACATATGGGGACTCAAGCCACTTCTTCAGTGCATGTGAGATGCTGTCAGGGTGAGCACTGCAGTCTGTGACCAGGCGATTCCTAACAGGGGTCACAGTTTGGGGGACAGGAAAACTGAGGGTGCACCCAACTTTGACACATGACAGCTGGTGAGGAATCTGTATCAAGAGAAGGGCAGAGCTTGGGAGGAACTCCCACTCCACCACCTTCTAGCCGTGTGTGCCAGGCAAGTCACTTGGCCTCCCTGCGCCTCAGTTTCCTTGCCTGTAATTTGGTCCTATAATAATAGTGATAATACTTCTGATATAGGTAAGTACTTGGTAGATAGTAAGCACTCGATTTATATTAGTTTTTATTACTGTGGGCACATGCATGTGTATATGTGTGTTTATGACCTCTTCCCCCTGCAGCCTCAGTGACTGAAATCCCATGGATGTATCACAGCAGAGAACTGCCGTCCTGATAGTAATTCCAGTGTCTGGAACACACTGACTGACAGGTGGCAGCCTCCCCCTGCCTGGGAATATTGGAGCACGTGCTCCTGCTGTGGAGTGCCCCTGCCCCCTGCTGTGGGCCTGTCTAATGCCCCATTGCTGCCTTGGGAAGGACTCAGGTTAGCACCTAGCGCAAGTATTGACCAATTCCTCAGAGTCTGGCCGATCCAGATGGATCCAGAAACACTCTCTGAGCCCCTCTTGTTTGGGAAGGCATTAGCTGGTGCTGATATACCCTCATGGCTTCACCCCATGGGGCTTTATGTCCTTTGCTGCCAGTTCTAGGCCTGTCACAGACACATTCCTGCCATCAGCCAAGAGGGCCAGAGGCTGGACTGTCCAGCCTGAGCCTGGACCCTGGCCCAAGGTCTCTGTTCTGCTGGTTATTGTGTGAATAATGATTCCACTAGCTGCTGGCTCTCAGCCAGGCACACTTCAGAGGGGACTCCTATCTCCTCCCTGAGGGGTCCCTTCTGAAACACGAATGGAGCCCCCCCAGCTTGCCCCTCTGTCTTCCCACCTGCGTGTGGAAGGGCAGGGCCCGCAGACCCTGGCCCACTCGACTCATAGGCCGTTGCCCCTCCCTCCTGCTGTAGTCATGTCAGCCAATGTCCTTCCAGCACAGAGGTCAGTCAGGGAGCCTCCCTTCCATTAACTCACCTGCACACCTCCTTAGACTAGTCTTCTGCTGCATGACCAGCAGCCCTTTAAGTCCTTCATCTACTGTACGCTTTCTTTTTTTATTGTTAACAATTTTAGTCTAAGAATTTTGTCAATTTAGGTAAATAAATCAATTGAAAAACAGATTAAAGGAAATAAAGAAGAAAAAAATACATGACCACCTGAATAGTTGCAGAAAAATAATTTACTAAAAGCTAATACTTTTTTCTCTCAGCTGTATGAAGTATGACTGACAAATAAAAACTGTATATATTTAAAGTATACAATGTGATATTTTGATATGTGCATTCATTGTGAAATGATTATCGCAATCAAGCTAATTAACACATCACCTTCTCACTTAGCTACCTTACTTTGTGTGTGGTGAGGGCACTAAAAATTTATTCTTAGAAAAATTTAAGTATACCATACAGTATTATTAATTATGATCACCATGCTGTACATTAGCTCTTTAGGACTTATTCAACTTATAACTGAAAGTTTGTACCATTTGACCAATATTTACTCCATTCCCCCCTCCCCTTCCCAGCCCCTGGTAACCAACATTCTACTCTTTTTGAGTTCAACATTTTTTTTTTTTTTTTACTGTAAGCTTTTATATATAGAATGGATAAACAAGGTCCTACTGTAGAGCACAGAGACCTATATTCAATATCCTATGATAAACCATAATGGAAACAAATATTTAAAAAATATATATGTGTATAACTGAATCACTTTGCTGTACAGAAGTAATTAACACAACATTGTAAATCAACTATACTTCAATAAAAAAATAAAGTCCTTCATCTACATCCCGCTAGTGATATTCCTGACAGTGTGGCTGGGACTCTGCAGCCACAGGACCCCAGGAACACGTGCCACCTCGCAGGTCTGTGGGAAAAGGAAAACCAAACAGTGGAGTGGGGTGGCAGACAGAGGGAGAAGGGAGGCTGGGGGAGCTGGAGAGTAGAAACTGCATGGGGCTTTCTGCTCTGGGGGTGCTATGATGGCATGAAAGGAGAGAGAGGCAGCCTCTGGAAGAAGATGGAGGCAGAGAGAGGAGCTGACTTTTTTTTTTTTTAATATTTATTTATTTGTTTGGCTGTGCCAGATCTTAGTCGCTGCACGCGGGATCTTTGTTGCCGCATGCGAGATCTTCGTTAGGGGCATGCGGAATCTTTTTAGTTGTGGCATGTGGGATCTTTTAGTTGTGGCATGAGAGAGTTCAGCGTGGCATGCAGGCGGGATATAGTTACCTGACCAGGGGTCAAACCGGGGGCCCCCTGCATTGGAAGCGTGAAGTCTTAACCACTGGACCACCAGGGAAGTCCCTGACTTTTCTTTAGAGAGCACCCATGCCACCCATAGGAGGCTTAAGCTTAACAACCCTCTGAGTTGGACTGGTTTCTTCCATTGTTTAAGCAAAGAAATTAAGGTTCAGCAAGTTCCATAATCTGTCTAAAGTCTCACAACTAAATAGAGGAGAAATGTGGAGAGGCTTATATATCTCCCAAGATGTACAGCTGCCCAGGCTCACTGGTTCTCAAGCTGTGAGGCATTACTTCAGGTCCCAAAGGGGCATCAGGAGTGAAGAGGGAACAGCCCTTGCCTGAGGCTGGGTCTCCAGTGCCACAGATGAGGCACGGGGAGGGCTAGATGGGACGGCACCAACACTATGGTCTCAAAGATGCTACTGACTCAGTGACAGTCACCAGCTGACCTCCTGGGAGCTCCACCTGAAGCCTCAGGGATGGAAGAAGGTGTCCTAGATGTGGTTGGAGTTAAAAGGCAGCCAGGCATGCATCCTACTTTGGAAAGATTAGAACTCTGTGTTTGTTCCTCTGTTTTGTGGACCTGATGTTCCAGGTCAAAGGGAACTGGGAGCAAGGCTGGGCAGAGAGAAGGAAAATGCATCTGGGAATCCTCATAGGTTTCCCTTTGTTTGGGCAAAGTCACTAAATCCTAGCTCAGCCCCAACACAATGCATGGCTCTGTTCCTGGCTCTAAACAATGCGAAGCTCAGAAGCTGCTTCCTCTGGGACCCTTTGGCCTTGTCCTCTCTCAGCTCTGTGAGTCCAAGCAAGGCCAACAATGCCATTAGCAGTGCCGCCTGTTAAAATTAGAAGCAGCTCTCACATCTGGCTATGATTGAAAAGAAGCCAGGCACTGGAGCCTGCAAGAACCAGACAAAAAATAATTGAGGCAGTGACAGACATCAGGCCTGATGCACGGAGTTCCAGCTCTCCTGCGTCACTCCAGTACCTCTTTGCCCTCTCCAGGTGGCCCCCACTGCTGAGGAAAAGTGATGGATTTCCCAGTCTCCCTGGACTCCTGCCAGCGAGTACGTCTTCCCAGCAGTCTCTCCTTCCTCACTCACCTCCTCCTCCTGCTTCAGCCCAGGGAGATGCACTCAGGTAACCTGTCTAATCCGCAGCCCAGACAGCCAGGACGTGAGCACCTCAGCTTCTGCCCACCCCTCCTGCAGGTGATTCCAGGGCTGAGATCTTGTAGCCTGGTACCAGGCTGTGCCAGGAGCTAAAATATAAGATTTCCATCCCAGTTGTTAAACAGCCACCGCCCCCAAACACCATCCAGCCCCACAGTGCTCCCCCACCATCCCTGCAGCCACCCACAACTCCACAGCTCACAAGCATGGCAGAAGGCATAGCAGCAGGGTGCCAGGAGATTCTTATTGGTCTGTGCTTAGGCTGAACCAGTTGGAAAATATTTTTAACTCCTCTCCTGCATATAAACCATAGCTTTTGAACGGCAGGGAGGAACCTAATCTTACCATCTCTCATGAAAGAAGCAACTAACAGAGAGTGTAAACTAGTTATGCAAATACAATTCCCTAATTCCCTGAGCTGGAAACCAGGGATACCAAGGCGACTAGGCACAGCCCAGATCCTCAGTCATTCAAGGGAGGGGGACAGACGTGACATACACGGCTGTCCAGCTGTGTGACCAGAGCTGCAAGAGAAATGTACCCAAGGATTTGGGAGCATAACTAAGAGACCAGTTTGTTTTTTCCAGAAAGCCATGAAGGGCCATAGAAAAGAGGTATTATTTGAGTAGAGCCTTGCAGGATGCACATTCTCCAGGAAGATGACAGATGGAGAGTAAACTGAGGCAGGCTGTGCCCAGGAAGAGGGCCAGGCGTCAGGCACGGGGGCAGGGACAGCTGGAGGGAACCTGGAGAGGGAAGCTGGTAGGGATGGTATCAGGGCTACACCCAGTGGGCAACAAGGGTTCTCAAATGGAGTGAAGAAAGGTGCCCCCATGCTATATGGGCAAAGTGAAGGATGGGAGAGATTCATAAAGGAAGAATTTAGGGTGGGATTAAGCTGAGCTTTGAAAGAAGGAAAGGAGGTGTACAGAAGCCAGAAAAAAGAATGAAGTCATGCTGGGTAGAGAGGCACTGCAGCAGGAATAGCAACTCTCATGGAAATTGCAGAAAACAGGGAGTAGAGGAGCCATACAGAGACATCACTGCAGAGAACAATCAAATGAAAGATCCAGATAAATTAAAATCTTGAAAGCAGGGTTTGGCCTTAGATAGGAAAACCCATGAAACAAGGAGCCCCCCCCAGATTACTTTAATACCCTTTGTTATTACAGAAGCTGTCCATGTGCATTATAAAATGTTAGAAAATCAGACAAAGCAAAAATAAGAAAACATCTATTCCCACCAGGCAGAAATTATCACTACCAATAATTTGGTCTATTTCCCTTCAGGTCTTTTATTCTGCACATTTATGCAAATATGTCAAATTTTTAATCAAATAAGAGGATAGTGTATATATGGTTTTGAAACTTGCTTTTTTTTTTTGCCAAAGATTCCATTTAATTTAATGCCCTGGCCATATTTACATAACTGTCCCCAAAATAATATTTGCAGTTGGTAGGTTCAAACCAGCTACCAGTCCAGCACCACACATTTGTATCTGGTTGTAATGTTCCTTGTGTATTTTTTAATGTGGCACACTCAACTTTTTCATGACAATTACTTGTTCAAGCAACCGGACCGGTCATCCTGTAGAGCGTCTCACCTTTGTCATTTGAATGGTTTACTGCAAAAAATCATATTTGAGGAGTGCTGATTTGGGCCATTGTCTGGGTTCTCGTCCTAGAGGAATTCAGGGTGGTAGGCCATGGGGAACCCATTCTGGCACACGTCGGGGATGAGGTGGAATTCCCGTGCCACCTGTCGCCGTACCGGGACGCCGAGCACATGGAGATCCGCTGGTTCCGGAGCCGGACCTCTGACGTGGTGCACCTGTATCGGGAACGGCAGGAGTTCTATGGCCAGCAGATGGCGCAGTTCCAGAACAGGACCGAACTCGTCACGGACGAGATCGCTGATGGCAGCGTGACCCTGAGGCTCCACCCCGTGGTCCCCGCCGACGAGGGTCCATACGGGTGCCGCTTCCTCTCCAGCGACTTCACTGGGGAAGCGGTCTGGGAGCTGGAGGTGGCAGGTGCGTGACCTGGTCAAGCCCCAACAGAGAGGAGAAAATGGTCCATTTGGAAACAGGTCAAGAGTAGATAGAAAAGAACAGAGAAAGGGAAAATATCTCTAATTTTAAAAAGAAAAGTATTAAAAAGAAAGATTCATTAGAAAATGAACAAAAAAATGCACACAAAAAAGATACACAAATGGCCCTGAAACATAAGAAAAGATGATTACTTTTACTCATAGTGAGAAAAAGGCAAATTAAAGCTATGGAGATACAATTTTTTTACCTATCAGATTGGCAAACATTCAATATTTGGATCACACACTCTTGGTGGAGGTGTAGGGAAGCAGGCCCCCTCCTACCTTTATTTATTTATTTATTTATTTATGGCTGCATTGGATCTTCCTTGCTGCGCGTGGGCTTCCTCTAGCTGCGGGGAGCGGGGGCTACTCTTCGTTGCGGTGCGCGGGCTTCTCATTGCGGTGGCTTCTCGTTGCGGAGCGCGGGCTCTAGGCGCGCAGGCTTCAGTAGTTGTAGCACATGGGCTTCAGTAGTTGTGGCACGTAAGCTCTAGAGCACAGGCTCAGTAGTTGTGGCGCATGGGCTTAGTTGCTCCGCAGCATGTGGGATCTTCCTGGACCAGGGCTCGAACCCATGTCCCCTGAACTGGCAGGCGGATTCTTAACCACTGTGCCACCAGGGAAGTCCCCACTTTTTTTTTTTTTTTTTTTTTTTTTTTTTTGCGGTACGTGGGCCTCTCACCGTTGTGGCTTCTCCCGTTGTGAACCACAGGCTCCGGACGCACAGGCCTAGCCGCTTCACGGCATGTGGGATCTTCCCAGACCGGGGCACGAACCCGTGTCCCCTGCATCAGCAGGCAGACTCCCAAACACTGCGCCACCAGGGAAGCCCCTGGGGCTTTTTTGATCTACTGTTTTTTACAGTATTGATGTTTAAACCATCTTAATGTTTTGCATATTCAAAATATAAAGCTAGCTTACTTGGATAGAGAGATAAAGAAGTATATATAACAAAGCCACTTGAGTGCCAGTGGGATTCAAGAGAGAGAAAAGACAATCTATTGAACTTTGGGGTGGGATTACTCTTCATTCTAGGGGGACTGTCCCTTGCATTATATGACTAAATATTAGTAGCCCTTCCCTATTTTAAAATGCCCTTCAGAGGTAGTGCTGTCCCCACATGCCACCGGTGATTTAGCCCGTCATTTATAGTCCACTGGTGGAGGGCTGCAAACCCGCAAGTGTGTTAAGAGCAGTCACAGTCACGATTCCTCATGGTGACTGCAGAGGGTGAATGGTGGCATGAACTTCGCATACAACTTCTGGGAAGGAGCCTCATCATTCCCACTCTTCCTGCCTCTCTCAGGGCTGGGCTCGGACCCTCACATCTCCCTTGAGGGCTTCAAGCAGGGAGGCATTCAGCTAAGGTGCAGCTCCAGTGGCTGGTACCCCAAGCCACAGTCTCAGTGGACAGACCATCAGGGACGATGCCTGCCTCCAGAGACTGAAGTCATCGTCAAGGATGCCCAAGGCCTGTTCAGTCTGGAAACCTCTGTGGTCGTCCAAGGGGGGGCCCACAGCAATGTGTCCTGCTCCATCCAGAACCCCCTCCTGGGCCAGAAGAAAGAGTTCGTGGTCCAGATAGCAGGTCAGTGGGTGCCAGCGCACCGTCATCTTCCTAGACTTCAAGTTCTCCATGTCCATTATCCCAGAGACCATCTATTGGGACACAGTGGCACTGGAGCCTGGCTGTGTATGGGGTGGGCTAAACCTGACACCTTGAAAGTCAGCCGTAATATCAGGAACCTACTGAGTGTACAACTGACAACCCAAACAGTAATTGGGGGAGGTCCCAGAAAGCCAACATTATGAACCAAAGACCAGGCACTAAAATCCAGAAACTCTAGTTATTAGAGGGCATCATGAGAGCCCATGTGCTCCTAATTTTATCCCTCAAACAATATTTATTGATCACCCACAATGGTCCCCAAACCCTTGGCCTCAGGTCCACATTCCAGCAGGGGAAACAGATACACAAAAGAATAAATTACAGCACATGTTAGAAGATGTTATCTGAGACAGAGAAACATGAAGCAGGGAAGCATGCTAAGGCGGGGTGGAGTGTATATATGGATTTAAAAGTGGTGGATCAGGGACGAAGACCGTTAGGCACTGAGTTCAAAGGAAGACCATTATATAGGATCAAAGTTTTATCGTGAGGCACCCATTTGAAGGATTTAACATTCATGGCTCTAATTGTTTTAAGTCTTGAGGATAAACCCAACCTATGGGCCATGTTTCACATTGGTCCAAATCAATAGTGATATTACCATAACAGAAAGAAATCTCACCCTTATAAGCGATAACTTGTCCTCAGGTAAGAGGACCTGATAAGCACCGTGTGTCACACATAGTTCACCCGAAATTTACCTGGTAATTGGGTAAGGAGTAACATCTGTGTTAGCTAATTGTCTTTATCCAAAGGAGAAATAAGATATCTCTTATCTCTATGACAAGCACATAATTACAACTTGGAGCCAGGTGCCTAAGTGAAACTCCCAGCAGACCTGGAGATAGGGGTACTTTCTCCTTGATGTTTCCATTTCAAAGAGATGGCTCTAGCTCCTTAAGAAAAACATTCCTGGGTTTTAAAATTGGCAAGGGGCTTATTTAACTTTCAAAAAGATTTGTATACATCTTGAGGGGATAGAGAAAGAATTTACAAATTTTCTAAAGGAAATACTCTAAGAGAAGGGAAAGGGGAATCTCCCTCCGTTTTTGCACCAGGGGAAATCCAGTTTTTAAATTTGTGTTTACCCTTGACAAAGGGTGTGGGTCACATGGATATCTGCAAGGAGGCCATTCAGGTAGAGGCCATTCAAGTACAAAGGTCCTGAGATGGAAATGTGTGTAGCTATCTGAGGAGCTGGAAAGATGCAGGAGAGACTGGAGATTGCAGGTCAGGGAGGCATAGGACCCTGAGCCCTTTAACCCCTAAGTCAGTGCTTCAAAAACACCTGTGGTGAAGCACCAATCCTTTGTAGCTCAATACTTTTAACCAAGACAATAAAAATGCACTGCTAGAAAAATAAAATTAAAAACCGAAAGAACACATTATGCTAAATGAAATAAGCCAGACACAAAAGGACAAATATTGTATGATTCTCTTTATATGAGGTACGCAGAAGAGTCCATTGATAGAGAGGGAAAGTAGAATAGATGTTACCAGGGGCTGGGGGGGTGTGGGGGGAATGGGGAGTCAGTGTTTAATGGGTATAGAGTCTCAGTTTGGGAAGATGAAAAAAGTTCTGGTGGTGATGGTTGCACAACAACGTTAATATACTTGAGGCTGCTGACCTATAAGCTTAAAATGGTTAAGACAGTCAATTTTATGTTACGTATATTTTCCTACTATAAAAAAATTTAAAGACCACTGAGATAAAAGCACCAATTTCTTATTATCTTCAACAGACACAAAATTATTCTATTAAATTGCCGCAAGAGTTACTAAAGGGTTGCTCTCTATTTTGCATTCATTTCTTTACTGTCCAGCCACTGTCCTTGCGAACCCTGCGCCACATTCTGCCTCTGGGCAGATCCTCCCTAGGAAGCCTGGAGAGGGAGGAGAAGAACTGTCAGTCAGCTGTCAAAGCTTTGCTAACAGTTCTTCCAAAGGTGTGATGAGAAGTAGAAGCCAGGTGTTTGCAAGAAGCGGGAGATGACGTGTGGATTCGTCAGAGTGGTAGAGAGCAGTTATTCACTGGGTTTCAGGTATCAACACCTTGGATTGTCATGCCCTTAGATGTAAAGCAAGAGTAGGAAGAAGTAGAGGAAGGTCAGGGCTGTGGTCACAGAAGTCCTAAGCTGGAGGAGTGGGCAGAGCCCATCAGCGCCTTCCTTTCGCATCCTTCAGTTTGCAGTTTGCGCTGCGCAAGTTCAAGTTCGCCGCTGGTCCTCTGACGCTACCTCTCTCTAGAGCACTGCAGATTGGTTCTCAGGCCCGTTTTACAGAGGGCTATGCTGGGGCCCAGGAAGCGTCAACCAGGCGCTGGGAAGGTTTTCCGGCACGCAGTGTCTAGACTAGTCTTCTCATGTTTAGCGAAGACCAAATCGAGACAACTCCATGTGGGGTGTTTTCCAGACGTATTTTTACCCGGAACCTCTCCCTGGAAGAGAGCTTTCCTCGGGACTCTGGTGGGACCGCTGCTCGTCTTGGCTCTCCTCCCGACGCTGGCGCTGTACTTCTTTCGGAGGCAACGGAGGTCCCAAGGTACCAGGCAGGCTGGGGGCTGCCCTCCTGGAGTTGGCTTTGCCCAAGAGCAAAGTGGTGGAGGCGGCCACAGCGGGGCACTGCTGAGGGGCCATCCTGCGGAGGCAGGGCTGGCATGGGTCGTGGAAACAGTCAGGGGAGCGCGCACACTCACGTCTGCTCCCCTTTTTTCTTCCTTGCAGAAAAGCTGAAGAAGCAAGTGGAGAAGGACAAAGGTAAGCAGAGGGAAAGACGCGCTCTTCGCGCACATCCCTGACTCGCAGAAGTGGGGACGCTGGGTGAAGAAGACGCGTAGGTCACAGCAGGGTGGGGGTTGGGAGAGGGCAGAGACGGGGGTGGGCGGGGGTGCGGGGGGCGGCAGAGGCTTTCTTCCACTTCTCCTGCCTCGGAGCCTGCTCCTCCCTCGAGTCCAGCTCAAACTGGTTCTCCAGAGCACATGGGGTTCCAAGTCTGTGCACTTTGGAGATGCAAGGCCTCAGTGATCCATGTAGATTTTCCTCTTTTCTTCGTTTCTTTCTCCAGGGAAACTCACAGAAGAGCTGGGTAAGTTCTGGGTGCCATGCCCACGGTGCTGGCTGTGGGCTAGGGGGTTAACCCCAGCACACGATGGAAGCAGGGGTTCAGTGATTTTAGGCCCCCTTTGGAGAGCAATGGATGGCAGCGCTCTAATTCGAAATCCATCCCCCTGCGCCTCCCGCCTTTCCCCTCCGAACCCGATTCGTGTGCACCTGCCAAGGAAGCCTGACCTAAGACCCTCTGGAAAGACTCTGCCAGGCCCTCTCCTGCAAATTGTACAATTCACTTACAATTCCACTGTAAAAGGTCTACTCCTTCTGGTTCATCTTCCTAGGATAACCTCTTTTTAATGCAAATGTCACTGGGAAGGAAGCCAGCTTTAATTTGCACCAAAGTGAAAGCAATTTATCAAATCCACTTTTCTTCCCAGGGGGACTCAGCACCTTGAAACCATGTGGGGGGAGGAGGGAAGAGTGAATCCAAAGGAAGAGGGGATAGAGGAGAGGAGAAGGCCACCATGGGTGGGAGAAGACCTTGAGAACCACCTTGTCTGCCCCAGTAAAACACCAGACAAAACAGTAAAGTTGAAGCTTGTCTTGCAGTCTACCTAGTCATGGAGGGGAAAACAAAAACAAAAAAGGCAATCAACCAAACAACAAAAAGAGCCACAATAATTCATTAACATCATAGGCCAAATTAGTGTATATTGTTGCCTTTCCCAGTCTTACTTTTAAAAGACAAAGATTAGAGAAATCAGAGGAATGCGTTTCTAGTGGCAAAATATTAGAGTTTTGGTATCTGGCCTGGGGAAATAATTGAGTGTGATGTCCTCCTAGTTCTTTAAATAATGTACCCAGTAAGTGACCCTGAGGCTTCTGCAGGGCGTGCTCAGTGCCTGGACTTACACAGGACTTCCTCCCCAGGAAAAGCTTGTATTACAGGGCAAGTGAGCAGTAGCCTCTCCAAACCAGACCAGAACCCTTGAAAGAGGTTCCTCAGTAGCAAGACCAGTTTTCCCTTTCCCAGCGCTGTGCAGATTTCTGCCTTAGAGCAAAGAATAGGATGAGGTGTAAGAATCCTGCAGATGGGCTTCCCTGGTGGCTCAGTGGTTGAGAGTCCGCCTGCCGATGCAGGGGACACGGGTTTGTGCCCCGGTCCGGGAGGATCCCACATGCCGCGGGGCGGCTGGGCCCGTGAGCCATGGCCGCTGAGCCTGCGCATCCAGAGCCTGTGCTCCGCAACGGGAGAGGCCACAACAGTGAGAGGCCCGCGTACTGCAAAAAAAAAAAAGAATCCTGCAGATGGGTGATGCAGCATCTAGGATGGGGTCGGGTTGAGCAGCGGTTTAAGACTAACCTAACTGCCTTGGGAAGGTGGTTCCACTCATCCAAAGGCTGATGTTTTCTCTGTGTGTTCTGCTTACAGGGAAACTTCAAGTGGAGCTGGGTAAGTGACCCCCCCTTAGAACTATTTCTTGTCCACCTTGTAGCATGTGGTTATCCGTGTATGTTCGTCTTACCTCCCAACCAGGTATGACGGCCGGGCTGGAACTCCACTGGCCGCGTGGGTGGCAGGAGAAAGGGGAGAGGCGCAGGGGTGGGTGCAAAATTTGACGTGTGAACAGGGAAGCTGCAGGGACCTGCTGTTCTAATTCTGTTTTTCCTTGGCTACTTCAGACTGGAGAAGGGCTGAAGGCCAGGCTGGTGAGTGAAGCCCGTTTTCCTCCCACTGTCCACGTCACATCTCAGCATCCCAGTCACCTGCTCTGACTAACCAACTATGCTTCATTCTGGTTTATTCCATAGCTACACACATGTACTAATCTATGTTGCTTGGTATAGGTTATATTTGAGTTTTACTTTTATACTTATTTTTATATTGTCCTGAAGTGTAAGCATACGGTAAATCATTGGTGCCAATCCTGGTTGCACATCAGAATCACCTAGATTCCTGGTGTCCCCCCTCAAAGACCCTCACTCCTGGTGAGAGTTACCTTATATGTAAATATAAGGCATGTTACCTTATATGTAATTATTTCTCCCTGTACCTTCCTCCATTTCCCCCATAAAACAAACAGCCTAATGTGTATCTTTATTTTGTATGTATTCTTGCAAGAGATGAATTTCTGTTTTGTGCGGTGCACTTTAGTTTCTGTAAAGACATTTACAGTCTCGTGCTGTTCCTTGCTTATCTCACTCATTGCTGTGTTTTACTATCCATGCCTGCTGCCACATGTAAATCTAGTCTGTATCTCCTTGCTGCAGAGCACTCCCTTTGAGCTAGCCACCCTCCTGGAGTAGACATCCAGCCTGCTTCTAACTCTATACCACCACAAACAAGGCTGAATAAATATCTGAAAACGTGTTGCCTTCTGGCTCTGTGTGGAGATTTCTCTGGGATGTATACCCAAGCGGGGAACTGCTGGCCCACGGGGGATGTGTCACTAAGTGGGATAGAAGGATCTCCTGCAGGTAGCACCATCATCCTTCACGCAGTGCATGGAGGCTCCATGTGCCCACATCCCGTGTGAGCCAGCTTTCTAAGTTTACCAGTCAATGGGGACAAGTAATTTTTCTTTCGGCTTGCACTCCTCTGGACACTAAGAAGCTTGAGCATCTCTTTATATGCTAGCTGGCTTTTGGGGCTTCCTCTTCTGAAAATTACCAGTTCCTGTCCTTTGCCTGTTTTCCATATGGCATTGCTATCTTTTTCTTGTTGATTTCACAAGACAGGGCTGGTGTCAGTGCTGGGGAATGGAGCCTTTTGGTTTGCAGGCACCCTTCATGCGATATTATTATTATTGTAGAATATGATATATACACATAGGATATTAATCCCTCATTGTTATTATACATTGTGAATTCCTTCTTCTCTTCCGTCACCTGCTATTAGCTTTATCCAATGGTGCCCCTTATTGAAAAGAAATAACCAATTTTGATAAAAGCTAATGCATCACATTTTTACCTTAATGGCCTGTGTTTCTGAAGTTTTGTTGAAGAAGATCTTCCTTACGTTTAGGTCACAAAGACAGTCTCTTACATTTTCTTCTACTCACTGTATATGTGTTATGTGCAGGTTTTTAATCCATCTGAAATTCACCATTTTATGTATGTAGTGTTAGACAAGAATCCAGCAATTTTTCTCCGAATAAAGTGTCAGTTTTCCCAATACCACCTACTACACCATCCATGTTTTCCCCATTGATTTGGGTATCACCTTTAGTGCATATTCAGTTCCCATGTCTTCATGGGTCTGTCTTTTGGTCACATATTACTTTGGCCTTTAAAGTACCTGAAAGCGCAAGTCCTCCTCCATTTCCCCTTCCTTTTTAAAGTTAATGGACCTTTTTAAAATATAAATTTTAGGATAAATTTATGAAGTTTCTAAAAAAATCCAAAAGTAGTTTTATATGGGATTGCTTTGAATTTATAGATAAATTTAGGGAGAATTGACACCTTTGTCGAATTAAGTTATTCTATAAAAAGCTCTATATTTTTAAAGATCTACTGGTTATTCTGGTGCAAAATCAGGGTTGCAAGGCCTTGCTGTAAATTTATGGAGCTCTGAAAATGTCTTCTATTGCTTTTGCATTTTGTGACTTTGGTGCTCTCTTTGTTGTAAAATAGAACAAGATAAAACAAAACAGAAATCCACACAGAATGGCTCATGTTAAGAAAGAGGGCAAGACAGGGTGTCCAGAGGATGTCTTAGGACAGGAGCCAAGCTCAGCCGGGCCTCCTGGAGACTAAGCCAGTCAGAGATTGAGGCTTCATTTCCATCCTTTAAGGTATCCCAGTTGCTTGTATTGGTTCTCTTTGCCCACATACTCTGTCATCCCACTGTTCCCAGCACAACTTCAGCCTGTACACAGCTTTGGTACAAGCCAGCACTGACACCAGCCCCCTACCCAATCCCAAATTCCCGGGAAGATGCCGTGGTGGACCCAGGCCAGTCTGGATCCAAGCCAGCTATCATGGTGGGAACGAGGTTACTTAGTTTGTAGGCGTCCCTTTTGCATTTTGAGCCTCCCTCAAGGTTCTAGGGTTACTGACCCAGATCTCTGAGCTTCTTTTTCCTCTCTGTTTGGTTTCAGAGTGGAGAGCAGCCCAACAACATGCAGGTAACTGAAGCCAAGGAACTGTGCCTTGTGAATTAGGTTGGCTGGATCTTAAGTAGAAGGGAGGTATCCAGAACTGAGATTAGAGGAAGGGTCTGTCCAGGAGCCGAGTATGGGCCCCACACACAGACACAAAAGCTCACTTATAAAACACATAATATGACACATACGCCTGCACACATACATGCTCACGTGCATTAATGTGATTGCACTCACACGTGCTCCCACATGCACCTAGCTTTCTGGGTTTTACTAGATTTGTTTCCAACTGGCAGAAAGGTTGCTACTAGGGCCTCTTTGCATGAGAGAATACAGAGTTTGTAAGGAACCTCCCACATCATCCGACAGAGGGTTCCTATCCATCAAATGGGTGTGTTTTGGGGGGGGGATGGGGTGTTGGAGTGCAGGGCACTGGACTAGATGATCTCAGAGGTCCCCTACAGTTTTAAGATCCTAAAATTGCTGTAAAAGAATCCCAGAGCTCACTAGTGATTTCATGGTCATACAGGGCAGTGAGAGCAGCCGGGACAGAATCAGCCCTAAGCTCCTTCCGGTTGATCAGGTCTTGGGGAAAGTGAGCCCGCCTCTATCCCCACAAACCTACCTCATTTGCTCTCTCCGCTCTGCGTGGCACCATGGAATTCAAGAACCTTCCGGTTCAGGAAAGAAATGGGATTCCTCTAATCACTTTCAAAAATTAGGAAGTGACTTTCATGCCCCTTCAGTACCAGGGTGGTGGGAAGCGGGTTGCAGGAGAGGGAGTGACTATTCCACTGATTGGTCCATCAGGAGAGCCAGAGGGTTTGCCTGTCGGGGGGAGAGGACAGGCGTGGGAGTAGGGGCAGAACCGTCCTTCACCTGCACTAAACATATGCCTCTGCGCAGTGGATGTGACCCTGGATCCTGGCTCCGCCCACCCCAGCCTGGAGGTCTCCGAGGATGGCAAGAGCGTGTCCTCCCGCAGGATGGCGTCAGGCTCAGCGGCCGGTGACCCCCAGCGGTTCTCCGAGCAGATGTGCGTTCTAAGCCGGGAGCGCTTCTCCACGGGCCGCCACTACTGGGAGGTGCACGTGGGCCGCCGCAGCCGCTGGTTCCTAGGTGCGTGCCTGGCAGCGGTGCCGCGCGCAGGGCAGGCGCGCCTGAGCCCGGCGGGTGGCTACTGGGTGATGGGGCTGTGGAACGGCTGCGAGTACTTCGTGCTGGATCCGCACCGCATCGCGCTCACCATGCGCGTGCCACCCCGGTGCGTGGGCATCTTTCTGGACTGCGAGGCGGGAAGGCTGTCCTTCTTCAATGTATCCAATGGCTCCCACATCTTCACCTTCACGGACACCTTCTCTGGGGCACTCTGCGCGTATTTCAGGCCTCGAGCCCATGACGGCAGCGAACACCCAGATCCACTTACCATCTGCCCATTGCCAGTTAGAGAGAAACGCGTCCCCGAAGAGGAGGACAGTGACACCTGGTTACAACCCTATGAGCCCTCGGACCCCGCCCTGGCCATGTGGTGAGGCGCCCTCGTGGCCACAGGACTGGGTCCTGGGCGGCTTCCTGGATACCCAGTCAGTGCTTTGCTCTCCCGCTTACTCTAGACGGAACACCGACCCCAGTGTATGAACCAAAACGCCAGCAAAGGCTTAAAAGGCTCAGTATAGCCGAAATGGGAAAAAGCGAGATCTTTGCCTATGTATCAATAGATGTGTATGTGTACATGTATGAATATGATTTTCTTTGAAAAAAAAAAGGCAATTCCAAAGCTTATTTGTGCGTGTTGTAGGTTTGAGCTGATGAGCAGAAATATATTCATGTTGCTGCTAGTCAGGGTGTTCACTGTGGAAGACGTGAAAGAAACTGGAATGGGGGAAAAAGAGGAGAAACTTCACTGGATAAAATTAGAGGTATCAGTTAACTTGTGTATTTTAATAGTTTTGTATATATTTTCTAGCTCTAGAAAGATCTAGAAAAGAGGACACTTCGTAAACAATGAGTTCACTTAGGGCTCAGATCCTAGTTTTCACTGTCAATTCCCACTAAAATGAACTTGGAGAAATGGTGGGTTCCAGGGCTGGAGCAGAGAAAGTACAGGTAAATCTGGAACATCTTTTGCTGTAATGTACAAACATGCTCAAAAACTGACCGGGGGGGGGGGCTTCCCTGGTGGCACAGGGGTTAAGAATCCACCTGCCAATGCAGGGGACACGGTTTCAAGCCCTGGTCCGGGAAGATCCCACATGTTGCGGAGCAACTAAGCTCGTGTGCCACAACTACTGAGCCTGTGCTCTAGAACCCGCGAGCCACAACTACTTAGCCTGCATGCCTAGAGCCCGTGCTCCGTAACAAGAGAATCCACCGCAGTGAGAAGCCCGCGCACTGCAACAAAGAGTAGACCCCACTCACCGCAACTAGAGAAAGCCCACACACAGCACTGAAGGCCCACTGCAGCCAAAAATAAATAAATAAAAAATTTTAAAATGTCAAAAAACTGATGGGAACATAACAAAAAGACATAGGAGCTAGGTCGAAGGGGCTCCACTGACCAATCATGGGACAATTTGAACATTAAAATGAATAATGCCAAGAATTGCTCAACAAGGGGTTGATCAAATAAAAAAATTCACTAAGTGTGCTGTCTCTTCAGCCAGAGAAAATACAAAAACAACAACAGATGAAAAACAGAAGCGAAAGGAGAGAATGAAAGAATAATTGTGAACTCATGGTTTTTACTATGTAATAGATGAAGCACACATATGATACATAGATGGATAGATAGATAGATTAGATAGGTAGATGATAGATAGATAGGTAGTGTGTGCACATACATATAGTTCCTAGCTCTGTCTGCTTTGAGGGCTTAGAAGCAATAACACCCCTGTACCACTGAGCACACCTTGTACCCAGAACTTAGTTTTTAGTACTATTTACCACTGAAAGGAACCAAGGCTCCTTGGAGAAATGGTGGACGCCAGGGCTGGGGCAGGGAAAATGTAAGAAGGGTGTGATGTTCTGATTTATACTAGGAAATATTTATTTGGTCTTCAACCTAGATTTTATTTTTTTTTTAATTTTTTTTGCGTTACGCAGGCCTCTCACTGTTGTGGCCTCTCCCGTTGCGGTGCTCCGGACGCGCAGGCCATAGCCGCTCCGCGGCTTGTAGGGATCCTCCCAGACGGGGGCACGAACCCGTGTCCCCTGCATCGGTAGGCGGACTCCCAACCACTGCGCCACCAGGGAAGCCCCAACCTAGATTTTAGAACAGAGCTCTTAAACTCTTGGAATTTCTAAGTGATAAGAGTGATAAGGGTGTCTTTGGATATTCATAACAAGCCACTTTCAACCACACCCGAGTTAATGAGATAACTTTTGGAAAGCCAGTAAGGATGGGGCTGGTTGCCAGGGGAACCAACTGTGTGAGAGAGGGTTGTAACTAACCCCCGCCCACGCACCCCCCTCCACCGCTGGGAGGGGAAAGGGGATGGAGATTGAGTTCAGTCATCAAGGGCCAATGATTTAACCAGTCATGCCTATGTGATGAAGCCTTTTTATAAAACCCCAAAAGGACTGGGTTCAGTGAACTTTCAGGTTGGTGAACACTTGGAGATGCAGGGAGAGAGGTGCTCAGAGAGAGCAAGGAAGCTCTGTGCCACTTCCCACATACCTTCCTCTATGCATCTATTCCATCTGATTCCTGAGCTATATCCTTTTGTAATAAACCTGTAATCTAATTAGTAAACTCTTCCTGAGTTCTGTGAGCTGCTCTACAAATTAACAGAACCCAAGGCAGGGGTCTTGGGAATCTCCAATTTATGGTGGGTGGGACAGAAACACAGGCAACCTGGATTTGTAATTGGTGTGAGAAGGGTGGGGGGAGTCTTATAGGACTGAGCTCTTAACCTGTGGGATCTGACACTACCTCTAGGTAAATAGTGTCAGAATTGATTTAATAGCTTGAGGGTGCTGAAGAAACACATAGCAGAATGGGTCTAAACCATCTTTTACCGGAATGCAAGGAAGTCCTCAGACAATAGTGGGGAGATGTCAAATGGACAGAAAAGCCCGCTTGAAGGGACTCCCAATAGCCGAATTTGAACATCAAAATAATTAATAGAAGTTACAGATTGAGAAAAATGAAATCCAAGATTATGTATATCTGTACTGATATACATAAATGAACAAATAAATGGGGGAGAAGAGAAAACTTTACCCTACAATAGAAGTCTCAAAGTATCTCAACACAAAATACTAATTATTTTAGAAGTACAAAACACTTATCAACTTTGCAGTGGAGGAGACTGGCAGATGCCACCTCAACCAAGTGACAAGTTAACATCACCAGATATGACATAAATTCACACGATGTGCCTTCTGATACAGTACAGTGAGAAGACTACAACAGCATCACTTGTGAGGTATTCTTGCCCCCGAAATTCACAAATCAGGAGGAAACATCAGACAAACTGGCTGATACTCTTCAACAAGGTCAAGGTCATAAAAAAGATAAAGCAAGACTAAGGAATTGCCTCAGATTGAAGGAGACTAAAGAGACATGACAACTAAATGCAATAGGCGACTCTGGGTGGGATCCCAGACAAGACACTATTTCGAGAAGAGGAGACATTTTGAAAACATGGTTATGGATCAGGGACTTCCCTGGCAGTCCAATGGTTAAGACTTCGCCACCTTCCTAATGCAGGGAGTGTGGGTTCGATCCCTGGTCAGCAAGCTAAGATCCCACATGCCTCGTGGCCAAAAAAGATAAAACAGAAGCAATATTGTAACAAATTCAATAAAAAGACTTTCAAAATGGTCCACAACCAAAAAAATCTTTTAAAAAAAATGTTTATGGATCAGATAGTAATGTTGGATAAAAATTCATTTCCTGATTTTGATCTAGGAGAATGTCCTTATTTTAAGAAAATACACACTTCTGTATTAAGGAATAATGGGACATAATTATTCCCAAATGGTTTATTTAAAAATATGGTAATATAGAGGGAGTGATAAAGTAATGCAGTGGTGTCTGATAAATATTTAAAAACTGACTTTCTGGGGGAAAAGTCTGTAGCTTTTGTTTTTTTTTCGGTACGCGGGCCTCTCACTGCTGTGGCCTCTCCCGTTGCGGAGCACAGGCTCCAGACGCGCAGGCTCAGCGGCCATGGCTCACGGGCCCAGCACGAACCCGCGTCCCCTGCATCGGCAGGCGGACTCCCAACCACTGCGCCACCAGGGAAGCCCTGTAGCATTTTTTGACTCGCACTGTGGCTGATTTCAAGCTGCTGATGTGACTTTTTTGGTGAAGTTGGGAAGAGATGCCCTCGATCAGCTCTCATGAGACACCAGCTCCAGCCCATCACTGAGTTTATACAATTTCACGTAAGGCATTTGGTCACCCTCCTGTGGTTTCTCTAACAAATCAAACATTTTAGAGCTTATGAAAATATGCTCGGCCACCTGTTATAATACAATTATAGCCTTATTTACATACCATGAATGATATTCAGAGAAAGGAAGTTTTTTTAAAAAATTTATTTATTTTTATATTTATTTTTGGCTGCGTTGGGTCTTCGTTTCTGTGCGAGGGCTTTCTCTAGTTGCAGCAAGCGGAGGCCACTCTTCATCGCGGTGTGCGGGCCTCTTCACTATCACGGCCTCTCTTGTTGCGGAGCACAGGCTCAGCAGTTGTGGCTCAGGGGCCCAGTTGCTCCGCGGCATGTGGGATCTTCCCAGACCAGGGCTCGAACCCGTGTCCCCTGCATTAGCAAGCAGATTCTCAACCACCGCGCCAGCAGGGAAGCCCGGAGGTTTTATTTTCTATAATCATTTACATTAGTGTGCAGATATCTTGGAGTCCTCACAGGTGTTTTGTGATAACATTAAAAATATGTTCCTTGACCATATGCCATCATTACCTATTGCTTTAAGAATTTTGCGTATTAAAACATTTGCGTATATAGTTGGTACAAAAGGCAACATTAAAGATCTTAGACATTCAGCTACATGTTTTGTGACCCATAAAGGCCATGCTGGAGGCCCCCTAGGAGGCTGGAACATTCAGAATCCACACCCATCTCCTTCCAGCCCACACCCAGTGACCCTCTGGCAAGTTTCTAAAAATAGGACATGGTATATTCAGTTCTCCCCACTGTTCACATTTTCCATGCAGCTATCCCGCAAACCTGGGAAAGGGTGAACACAGCATCTATGTATGGATCCCAATCCAGTGTACAAAACACACTTATGATATGAGGCTTTCCCTGCTTGAGGCAGCCTTTGTGATGGTTAACTCACAAAAACTGGCAGAGCTGAGAGAGCACCTAGACTGTGACAACAGCATGCAAGTCAAGTTAACATTGGCTCCATAGAAATCTTACATGAAAAGACAAAGATTCCCATGGATTGGGCGTATTTTTGGTGGGCTTATAAATTGGTAGAGCCATTTCAAGGTCAATTTCAGTAATGTGTACCGATTTCTAAACATGAACGTCCTCTGACCAAGAATTCCACATCCGGAAATCTGTTCTACAGAAATATTCACACCAATAC